AGCCAGTCGCTGTAACTTCAACTATTTTAGAGAAATTGTGTGGTTATACCTGAGAGTCATCTGCAGCGCACACACCAATCACTAATCATTGGTAAAATTTCAGTATTTACTGTTGGAGTCAATTCCGTCTGTCTGTTAGTAAAATATCTTATGACCCAGTGGGTGGATTTGAATGAAACTTTTCACAAAGTAATCTTTTGATGTACATCTACAGCTGATTAACTTTCAATCTATTTCAAAATGGCTGTCGGAGCTATGGTAAGCAACACAAACATGACCATAATTCAGTCAGTTAAAAAAACATTGAGCTAATATTGTGTGGCAGGAGCTAAGAGTCATGGACATTCCCCGAGTCTTACGCCACAACATTTAACAAGATCACTAGATATTCAAGTTTTGACTAAAACGTCTACAACTCTGTCAGTTCTCAACAGAAGATGATCGTAGTTTAATATTCTGGCATGAAAGGTCAGAACTCATGGAAAGCTCGGCCTTTAATTGTTTTATTATTTGATATTTGTTCTAAAATGAGAAAAGTGTCGAGGCAGGAGGCAGAGTGAGCCTGGAGTTTTCTCTGAACATTTATAAAGTCCTCCCACACCAGACTGAGAGGATTTCTGAGGGCGGCTGTGTGGGAATAAATCAAATGTGCTTGACTGTGGGTGGACAACATTTACTGGCTGGTGTCTGATTTTTTAATTAAAGGCCAAACACAACGTATCACCCCCAAGCTCCTCGAAGCAGCTTGTTTCTTCTGCTCCTCCCGTCAGATCTTGGAGCTGCTCTCCAGTCGAGGAGGATTACCACGCCTCGGGGGAGCGGAGGGACGATCTGAAGCAGGAGCTTCACATCGGATTTGTCAGACCTTTCTGAGAGATCATTCTGTTGGTGGTTTTTATTCTGGCCACATTTGATTGTCATCAGTGGCAACCAGTCCTTTGGGGCCCAAAAAAATTCTCACCCCACAAACTAGTTCCTCCTAAAACAATGATGTAATTACTCATTTACTGAGCATGCTGTGTATTGTTTTGTCCGATGTATTTTTCAACTATTTAGACAATTTTAAATGGAATTTAAAATGATTTTTAGTGATTCATTCTCAGTTTTTTGGTAAGCCAGAGTCTGCAGTATTGCGGACTCTGTGCTGGTCCATTGTGGTGAAGAGGGAGCTGAGCTGTAAGGCAAAGCTCTCAGTTTACTGGTCAGTCTACGTTCCTACCCTCACCTTTGGTCATGAACTCTGGGTAGTGACTGAAACAATGAGATCGTGGGTACAGGTGGTTGAAATGAGTTTCCTCAGCTGGACTCTCCCTTATAGGGTGAGATGTTCAATTATCAGGAGAGACTCGGAGTAGAACCGCTGCTCCTCCACATTGAGAGGAGCCAGTTGAGATGGTTCAGGCATCTGGATAAGGATGGATGGATGGATGTGTTCTCAGTTTTTTACTTAATTTTCTGTTATGGGCCACTACTGTTCAGCGACTCGCGCTCGTCAGGTGGATCTGAACAGCCAACTCTAATAGAGTCTCATTTGGGGCATCAGATTTTCTGCCCTGTGGACACATTCACAGGGCAGGGTTTGAGCACATTAATACGACCACTAACCCTCGAACTGATGTGAGCTCAAATGCAGAAGCAGCTGCAGCAGAACCTTCTGTGTTGTGGAGACATTCTGTTCAGACCCATGTGGAGCAGACAGAGGGGATCAGAACAGAAAACTGAGGAGGAGAGACTAAAAGAGGCACATTTTCACCATCGTGGTTGGAGCTTATTTAAGCAGTTCTGTGGCAAGTGCTGTGGCTCTGATATTGGTTAAAGTAGTGGTCTTACAACCAGAAGACCGGTGGTTTGATCCTTGCCTGGAACATTTATTTGAATTAGTTATGACTAGGCCTGTCACGATAACAAATATTGTTGGGTGATTAATTGTCTCAGAAATTATTGCAGTAAACGATAATATCGTTTGAAATTTGGCAGTAATTACTTTGTAGTAATTATTGTCAAATTTAAGAAGAAATGTTTGTTATTTTTGAGTGTAGTACCTTTTTTGATCACTGGATGGCAGTATAAGACAGTTTGAACCAAAGGATGGATAATGAGGGAGCGAGCAGCGTCTCTTTAAGAAAAATGGGAGGGAGGCCCCTTGACGTGACATGGGCTGTCTCTCTTTTTTTTGTCTGTTTTTCTGGTTCTCAAATTGGCAACGCTCTGTGTGGTTTGAGCTCTTTAGCGTAGCATTTGTCACGCAAAGCTTTTAATTAAAAAATCAGTAAACAAGTTCTCAGCTTCTTTTTGCAGAGAAAAACAACTTTTTACACAAAGGCACGAATTTCAACCGTGAATTTTGGAGTTTTGACAAGACGGAATTTTTTGTTCCGAGGTCAGCCTGTTAGCTTAGCTCGTAGCTTTTCAGTTTAGCTGCTTTTAACGATCCAAAAACACGATTTTGGACGGTTAAAACAGATTTTAAAGAGAAAAGAGAAAGGGAGGGGTCAGTGAAAAGCGCCAGAGTTGTGCTTTTTGTCATCCAGTGTCTTCAGTAGAAAGAGAGAGACACGAAGAAACGATCAAGCCGATAAATGAAAATGAGGTAGATCAGTTTCATTTATCGTGCGATTAATTGATTTATTGTTTAGCGTGACAGACCTAGTGATTACATATTCCAACATCTTTTTTCACATTCATACATTTTTTATAAAAATGAAAAAACTTTTACAGATTCAAACGATTTTGAGCACGATTGTTCAGCAATCTGCTCTTTCTCTGTCGGGTTATGTTAATTATTCTAGTCATGCATTGAAGCGGTCAAATTATTCCTGTTTTGAGTGGGAGTGGGAGGCATCCGTTACAGATATTGAGCTAAAATTAGGAGCGTTAGTAGCTGAGAGTCATTCCCAGTACGTACTTTAAGGGCTGACTGATTGTGTGTGATCTACTTCTAACAAGTTGTCATTAACTATTAGAGCCCACTCTGTCTGTCTGATAGCAAAATACCTTATAAACCACTAAATGGATTTTTTAAAAAATTCTCAGAAACTAATTATTGGGTTTAGATCTTCAACTGTTTAAATTTTGGTGTTAGTCCCATTTAAGATGGATGCCACATAGGAGGACCAGATGAAACCAGAAAAAAATATTTGTTATTCAGTGGCTGCAATTTGCAGCCATTGAATATCTCCTTTTCTCTCTCTCTGCTGCAAAGGAGGGAGAGACGGCGTCCTCAGAACTGCGTCAGCTGTTAATCTAAATGTGCAGCAGCTTCCCAGCATAATGGCCACTCCGTGCACCTCTATACTAGTATAAAGACAGGGCAAGAAAAGGGATTTGAGTTATGTGGAATATAATGGAAACTACAGTATGTTAAAGAAACCCAACAATGTTCAGTCAGGTCATCTGGATGGTTTCTTTT